CCATTGGCAGAAATTTTTGACTTAATTTGAGTCGAATTTTCAGACTAACAAGACAAATAATCTGACACATTCTGAAAACAAGGTTATTATTCTTACACAATCAGTTCTTGTTTAGTAAATCAGTCTCAAAACCAGATCAAAAAGTCTTTTTGGCTGATATAAGATTTTAAAACTTGGTAAGATGGACAGTTTTTGCAGTGTAATAGTAATATAATAATTAATAGTCACTGGTGAAGAATACTGGAAAAAAACATCTAAACAACTTATTAAAACCTGTCATGCTTTGAGTAAACCTTGTTGGATGTTTTAAGAGGTGTTTTAAATGACAAATCTGAATATGATAAATAGACAAATATCCACAGAGGAAATTATTTTTCATTTTTTATATTAATTTGTTTTCTCTGATAATACAGTATATTCATATTTTCTTCTCTCACTGGCTTTAAATTGAACTTTGGCACATTTAAGTGCAACAAGTGAAGGTTTTTAGTGCACAGAGCAGAAACATTATTTTTAAAGCATGTTTTAACAATCAATGAAACAGTTGTGCACTTATTGAGGAGTTCTTTTTTTAATGGGAGTTCTGTGTGTGTTTGTGTGATCAGGTGGTGGCAGAGCAGATCCCTCAGCTGGTTCAGGGGGTCCGAGGCAGCCAGTCTCAGCCGGACAGCCCCAGCGCTCAGCTGGCTCTCATCGGCTCCAGTCAGAACTTCCTGCAGGTGAGTCACACCTCAGCTTTCATTATTCTATGTCAAATGTAAAAATAAAATTAAATAAAACTCAGATAATGTGTTTCTCTTAAAAAACAGAAATGAAATAAAAAGTGTGTTGCTTTTTTTGGAAATCCATTTTTGTTCTTTTTCTGCCCTCCACCAGCCAGGTGCTAAGATGGTTACTGCCTGCAAGGCCACAGTTCCCACCATCACTGATCAGGCCTCAGCCATGCAGCTCAGCCAGTGTGCTAAAAACCTGGCCAGTGCCCTGGCAGAACTCCGCACTGCCTCACAGAAGGTACCGCACGCCTTGTTTACACCTCACAAACACAGAGGATGGCTCCAGTTCTACATCCAGAAGCTACTTAATGTTTAATTATTGTCGCTGAGGAGCAGAAGGATCAAAAGCAACATTCATGTGTCTTTATAGGCTCAAGATGCTTGTGGTCAGCTGGAGATAGACAACGCTCTGAATATGGTCAGAGATCTGGAGAAGGACATTCAGGAGGCCAAGGCTTCTGCTCAAGAAGGAAAACTCAAACCACTGCCTGGAGAAACGGTGAACACACACACACACATAAGGGTTTTTGGATATTCGCGGGGACTTTGTGTTGGCTTTCATTTATTTTCCAGTCATTTCTACAGCTTAGCCCTGATGTTTTACCCCAAACCTAAACCCCACGCAAAATCAGAATCTGTACCTGTGGGGACCAGGTTTTGGTCCCCACAAGGAGCATTGGGTCCCTATAAGGCTTTGTTTTTCTGGAAAATGGTCCCCATAATGTAGCAAATACTTATCCACACACACACGTCCTTGTACTTCCATCATACTGAGGATTTTATTTTGACTTGCATTCATTTCTGTAACTGCATTTATGCCTAACTCAGACATTTTCCTTAAACTAACCATTACTAGTCTATTCCTAACCCTAACCTGAACCAAAACTTAATTCACACTAGGGTTGGGCAATATTGGCATTAAATTAACCACGATTAATTGTGGTATTTATCCAATAACGATTAATTTGACTATAAATCCCCTGGAGTCCCTGGACACCCTTATGTCCTGGTCACATGACCAATTTAGTGGGAAAGATTTGCTCTTTGTAAATTACAGACTTCAGGCTATATCAAATTTTAAATTGTGTTGATAAATAAATTACAGAACTTTTTTTTAATGTTAGTCATATTTGAAGCGGAGAGAAACACCGAGCGAACTGACTGGGAAAATATCCAGCCACTCTGCCTGGTGGCATTAATCGTATTAATTGTCAAGTGCCAAAAAATGATCCATTAATGTTTTTTGACGATTAATTGTTGCACACGATACGATTATGCCCAACCCTAATTCACACCATACCTCTAAACCTAACTAGTAAAGCACAGCAGAGCTGCAAACAAAGTGAGGACCAGAAAATTACCTTGCTTTGTTGGTCATTGTTATGAAAATGGTCCTCTTTATTTAGCATTAACAAGTATACACACACACACACACACACACACACACACACACACACACACNTCCAGTTCACCAGAGACACCTGGACAGGTCTCCAGTCTCCATCAGGGACACAAAAGAGACAATCAACCATCCACACTCTGTCACACCTAAAGTCACACAGAGGAGCTCCAGAAGTTTTCAAACTGAGAACTCTGGACTCAGATCATCTGCTGCACACAGTTCTAATCACTTATTGTTAATAAGAATTTTATTGATAATTATCATGAGGAGTCCTTCACTAGGATGTAGTTAGGCAATTAAATATTCATGTATGTGTAAATTTTTTACCATAATTGCAGGTGAGTCACGTAAGTTTATGTTTTTATAAAACAAGTAGCCCCCGCCYCCAAGCCCAATTTCCTAGGGGAAACGTTGTATTGCATTACCTCGCAATACCTTTTGCGTTCCCTCACATAAGTCATTAAACACTGTTGTGCCTGCCGCTTTATTAACAAACTCACATGTTTACCATTAGCGAGTTAGCCTACTGCTTTAATTCAGCTTCAGAATGAATATATCACACAGCCACGCATGGAAGTATGTCGTATGCTGATATTTCAACACATTGCAGCCACGCAACATCAATGTCAATTTCACAAACTTGTGGCGAGACATCCTGTTTTGGTAACCGGATATTTCAAAATGAAAGTCTGATTTAATTCAGTTCATATACAAATCAAATGCGGGCTCTGTGGTTTACGACTATATAGCAGTGCAGAAACTATTTATTTACAAAATTAATTAAAAGAAGACTTGTCCATCCAGTCTCACATGTTGGAGCCAGAGTCTGACCCAGAACCAGAAGAGATTGAAGACGAGGAAATTATAGTTGGTTCAGACCTTATTTCGAAGTTTCATCACAAATAATGTGACGTAACAGATTAGTAAACAAAATGAACGGGTTGAAAAATATGATCCAAACACAATAAAGAAATATCTATGCAGAACCAGAAGAGACTAAATTCAACTTTCACTTCTGGAGACTACAAGTACACAACAAAATGCATTTAGTGGATTTTGCACAACATGTTGTTGACATCTTAGAAAATTATGAATCTAAAACTCTAAAATTAAAATAAAAAACATCTAAACATGATTTACATCCACAGAAAGAATTTTGACACAAACAATTCAAACTCCCTCTGGAATGATGCTGAAAGCTGAGTGACACACTCAAATGTGCACACACACACACACACACACACACACACACACACTGAATTTACATACACACACTCATCACAAGTCTCAATCTCCGTACCCTATTGAGACCCTGTCTGAGTTTGAATGGCATCTTCGCTGCGCCTGGCTGGGCCCTGTCTCTGTATCGTACAGACTTGCTCTACCCTTCAGCATAACACACACACACACACACACACACACACACACACACACACACTGAATTTCATAATTTTGTCTAATCATTTGTTTCTATGTCTGTTTGTTTGTTTGTTTTTTACCCAGCTTGAGAAATGCTCCCAGGACCTTGGTATGAGCACCAAGGCTGTGACCTCAGGTATCGCCCAGCTGCTGAGTGAGGCCACGCAGGGAGATGAAAATTACATTGGTAGGTTAAATAGGAGCAAAAACAAAGAAAACTCAGCTTGTTCACAGGTCCTAGGCTGTGCTCTGATGTTTTAAAGAAAGTGACATTTCATTCTCCTTTTCAATAAAATCTCACTCAGATCACATTCTGGTTTTACAGAAGTGACCCTTTACTGGAAAAGTGTGTTCTTTTATCATGTTTGCCTCACCATAAACTGAAGGTAATGTTCCTTTTCCATTCAGGTATGTCAGCCAGAGATATAGCCCAGACTCTGAAGTCCCTGGCCTCAGCTGCCAGAGGAGTCGCCGCAACCACAAACGACGTAGCGGCACGCAACGCCGTGCTGGACTGTGCCGGCGACGTCATGGATAAGTCGGCCAACCTGATCGAAGAAACCAAGAGGGCCATCGCAAAACCAGGAGACCCAGAGAGTCAGCAGAGGCTGGCCCAGGTCAGGCTGAAAGAGAAATTTGATAGAAAATAGATTTGTATTTACTTAATAGACTGTAAATATCTGTGTCTATCTGGAAATCAAACAAATACATTTAGATAAATGAGAAATGGGACAGCTGTGATATGGTAAAGGTCAAAAATTCAATCCCCAGATCTGCAGTGTGTTCTTAACCTTTTTGACCACGGAGCCCAATTCGTTGAACATAAAGTGGCACGAGGCCCAGTCAGACATTACTAATGTATGGATCAAATTGATAATTATTCTAATCTAAGTATTGGTTTAATTTTTATTGTATTTACGTCATAACTAAACTATCAAGACTAACATAACTAAATTAAATACACTTACAGTTTAAAAGTGAAACTCCTGTCAAATAATCATAAGACATGATTATAACAAATATTTTTATATTGTAACCTGCCCATAACAATTATTTGAACAAATACAACATTCAGTCAACAGACCACTCAGGCATTCAAAATGTTTAAAAACAAACTACAAAAATCAATTTAAAATGCAAATTAAAATATAGTTGTATTTGCAACTGTATTTGATAATGTTTTGAACTTTTAAAATATTGCATGGTAAAAACAGAAGCTGCACTTCATATTAGTGACAAACTTTGGTGTTTTTTGATGAGTTTCTTTCATCTTTGCTTCTACTTTTCATTTAAAATAAGTTTCCATTCTCGGGAGGTTTCTAAGGTTCTTCTTCTACATATTAAAAAGTTGTTAAACAACTGAGTGACGCACTACTGCTACTAGTGGTGAGAAAGTGTATTGCACCTTATTCAAAATCAATGCGATCCCACGGCCCTCTGCGGCCCAAAGTTAAAAACTGTTGTTCTTTTGAGGCCCTCAAGGTGGCGCTGTGGGCCGCGGCCCATAGGTTTAAGAACCTCTGGTCTAAAGGTAATTTCATACTTCAGCCAAAGCTGAGAAATCGGCTCTCATTGACCGATTTGTTAGATGCAAATCGCATCATTTTGTTCTCAGAGTGGTTTGCCCCTTCCTGACAGGAGGCCCGGGCCAAACGTTTTCTCTCAGTAGTGTGCACAAAGTGTTGTGTGATTGGTCAGAAGCTTGTGGGTGAGGTTCTTAATGCGGATAAAACGCTCGGACAGCAACGTTGTCCTTATTGTTTCAATTCCTCGGCTTCCAGAAGCCGGCTGTTGCAACTTGGATAGTTTTGAGGTGCAGTTGACCGAGGCAGCCAGACAATCCATGTATCTGACTCTTCCAGACACTTATAAAGATAATCCAAAGGCCAAAAACCCCTGGATGGTGATATGACAGACACTGTGCATGGTGGATTCTGTAAGTGCAGACCTCTATCAGTGACCATGTGTTGACCTTGCAAAACTTCTTCATTTAATTATATTAGAGAATGTTGCAGTAGTGTAGCAGTGATGAAACAATGACAAGAATTACTATTATTAATGGCTGATAAGATAAAGAGCATGGAACATTATCTGTTATCATAACTTTTAACAAATAACAGAATAGGAATATTATTTAAGGTGTTTGTGAACAGAAACTGTTGGATGAATAGAAACGTGACAGAGGATATTAATGTGTGTGTGCAGGTGGCCAAAGCAGTGTCGCAGGCTCTGAACAGGTGTGTGAACAGCCTTCCTGGTCAGAGGGATGTGGACAACGCCATCCGCACTGTGGGCGAAGCCAGCAAGTCCCTCCTGGCTGATTCAGTGAGCACTTCAGTTACAGCTTTTCTGTATTACATCCTCAAAACAACAAGTCTTCGACTGAAAAAGTCCTTCATTAGGATGATAAAATCATTTATGTGTAAAAATCAACATCAGTTCAGTTTTCTTGCTCCTGCTCAGCACTGCTCTGTATCGTCTTCCCGCCACAGTTCCCATCCAGCGGACGGAGTTTCCAGGAGGTTCAGGCTCAGCTGAACGAGGTGGCAGCTGGTCTAAACCAGTCGGCCAACGAGGTGGTTCAAGCATCCAGAGGGACCACCCAGGACCTGGCAAGGGCCACTAGCAAGTTTGGGCAAGACTTCAACAACTTCCTGCACGCTGGTGTTGACATGGCTGGAACGTCCCAGGTTAGTTCGATAAAAAACATGCCGTTTTGTTTTCCTTTAAAGGAGAAAATAAAAATGTGGAGAGTGGTTTTAAACAATGGGTCTTCAGATGTTCTAAAGGTCTTTAAGAGATTTTCTTTGGGCTTTGGCTGCTTTTTTAAAATATTTTTTAATCAGCCCAGTTCCCAGCCATTTTCAGAGGAATGTTTTGGTTGTTTGTCACGACAGATAAGTGTGATCTATGAAGCTTTCAGACATAAAACGCTCCTAAGATGTAATTTGATAAACTTGGTAAGAATAAAATTAAATTATTCAGCCCTTTAGCAGCTTGTCGCAAAGCTTTAGTTCAAATTTCTTTAATTGCATTATTGAAAAATGCCAAAAATCACAGTTAGAGAGAAATAAAGTTGTATTTTTGCCACAACATGGTGATTCCTAAAGAGATATTAGCTAAAACTATATATTGTGTGTATGTGTATATATATATATCCAATGTGTATGGTGTGTTTTTTTCTTTTATTTATCTTTCATTATTCTTCTCAGACTCTCCTGTATTGAGCTGCAGTAATGTGCAAATTTCCCTACTGTGGGATCAATAAAATCTTATCGTATCGTATCGTATCTTAAACAAGGCTGCATTTCAACTTGTGTTGTCACAGACCATCTAAATAATGAAGTTATAAATGTAGCAAAGAACCACTTTACTTTGCTAGACTTCGCAGTACATCTGTGGAAAATCTGACTGGCTGTTATTCATTTTTAAAATAGCATTGATACTAAGCACAGTGCCAGTGCACTAAAACAGCTCCTTCTTAGGAAAAAAAACAAGTCTGTCATGGCCTGGCATCCTCAGAGTTTGGACTGTAACATTATTGAAGTAATGTGAGATCATCTTGACAAACAGGAGAATAAAAACAAGATCTTGGAAACGTCCTTCAAGAACTCAGGACAAATATTCAGTTCATTTCTAATACAAATGTATGATATTCAGTGCCTGAAATTCACTGCAGGATTGTCTGTGATGGGCATTGTATCATCCGTCCCAGCAAATCTAGTTTTTATAATGCAGGAAACTCCTGTATGCAATAAATTACACATGTGACACAATTTCAGGCACTGGGATTATAGTTAAATTAATCAGGAGCTTGCATTTATATTCCACAGTTAGGTGTGAAGCTAATAGAAACTCTCTTTGTTATGTCGTCCTCATCTCCAGTCGAAAGAGGATCAGACACAGGTGGTCTCCAACCTTAAAACTATCTCCATGTCATCAAGCAAGCTGCTGCTGGCTGCTAAAGCTCTCTCCACTGATCCCAGTTCACCCAACCTGAAAAACCAACTGGCAGCAGCTGCTCGGTCAGAAGCTTTTTCTCTTCTCTAGATTTACCTCTCAGTTTTCTTTCCAGTTTTGTTTTTAACGTGTTTGAGTCTTTGTGTTTTCAGGGCGGTTACAGACAGCATCAACCAGCTCATCACCATGTGCACTCAGCAGGCCCCAGGTCAGAAGGAATGTGACAACGCTCTCAGAGAACTGGAGGTAAGAACTATTGATAGCGCTGTAAAGTGACTGCTTCTGGTTTAATCTTTGTTCATCAAGATTCCATCAGAGAAAACTAAACAAAAAATGTGTCTCTTAAAGATGTTTGTGATTGTTCTGTGTGCAGTCGGTGAAAGGGATGCTGGAAAACCCGACAGAAGCAGTCAATGAGCTGTCCTTCTTTGAGTGCATCGACAGCGTCATGGAGAACTCCAAGGTACAAACCTGCTGCTCCTCTCATGCAGCTTTGATCAGATTCTGCCATTTCCATCAATTCTGTTCTAAAAGAGCTCACTTTTATGGTTTAAAGCATTTATATCTCTTACACATAAAATTTGAGAAAATGTCAAACTACACTGGGACTCTACTGGGACAAAGAAAAAGGTGTAGAAACTACTCTACTGACTCTTAAAGTGGCAGCACAGATTTAATTAAACAAAATCCTTTTTCGACTTCAGAAAACTGATTCAGAATCGTCTAATTGGTGATGTGAACCCATCAAATAAAGCCTAGGCTCTTATTGAAGCCTGGGAATCTCTTGCTTCCTGTTAACAGGTTCTTGGTGAGTCCATGGCTGGTATTTCCCACAATGCTAAGAACTCTAACCTGCCAGAGTTTGGAGACTCAGTCAGCGCTGGATCCAAAGCCCTGTGTGGTCTCACTGAAGCAGCTTCTCAGGTAAAGTCTTTATTTTTGTATACGTTACTTGACACCAGTTCAGAAAGAAGTGGAAACCAGTGATCTGTTTCTGTCTGTAGGCTGCGTATCTGGTGGGAGTATCAGACCCCAACAGTTCAGCAGGTCAGAAGGGCCTCGTGGATCCTACCCAGTTTGCCCGGGCTAATCAGGCTATTCAGATGGCCTGCCAGAACCTGGTGGACCCCGCCTGCACCCAGTCCCAAGTGCGTGCTCGCTTCAATGCGAACTGACAGTAGAGCTCATTTTGACCAGTTTTTTTAATTATGTGCTGTTTTTTTTCTGCCCAGGTGCTTTCTGCAGCGACCATCGTGGCTAAACACACCTCTGCCCTGTGCAACGCCTGCCGCCTGGCGTCCTCCAGAACTCCCAACCCTGTAGCCAAGAGGCAGTTTGTCCAGTCAGCCAAAGAGGTGGCCAACACCACGGCCAACCTGGTCAAATCCATCAAGGTTTGCTCTTTGCCATTTCAAACCATGAACCATCAGTAAAAGCCTGTTATCTCTGAATTTCAGTAATCAATGAAGTGAATTTCCTAATTGCTAATTATAGTCTTGTTTGGGGTCTAACTAAATTGTTGTGCAGCAAGCTACATAAAGATAAAGCTTTTCTATAAAGCATGTGTTTAATTTGTAGGGTGACTTAGGCAAATGGGAACTTGACCTGCTTTTAGTGAAGTCTCTAAAATGGCTACAAGAGTTACGCTCTGCAAACCTGGTCCGCTGGGTTTGATGGATATCATGTTCTTTTTACAGGCTTTAGATGGAGCCTTTAATCAGGAGAACAGAGAGAAGTGCAGAGCTGCTACTGGTCCTCTGATAGAAGCTGTGGACAACCTGACTGCCTTCGCCTCCAACCCAGAGTTCGCGAGCATTCCTGCCCAGATCAGTCCGGAGGTCAGTCCTTACCTCACCACTGAAGCATCTTTTACACGTGTTCATGCACAACTTAAAAACCAAATAAACAGGAATGTGTGTTGCCTTTTTTCCACTTACATTGTGACAGAAGTTTTCCTATTTTATCTTTATTTACTTTTTTATTTACTTTCTGCCGCTAAAATGTATTAGAGGTACTGTAACCATATTATCTGGTTACTGCTAGTTTTGAGAGCTACCTCTTTAAAGAAGTTCGAGTTAGCTGCTTCGAATGTGTTATTTTATTTTATTTTTTTGCTGAAATGTACCTTGTCAGTTACTGAGATTATGCGTTCCACTTTATTAATCGTCGCCTTAAATATCTGTCTAAACAACAGCTTAACTTTCATTTTTTTAGTTTCAAAGCTATATGGAAATAAAAATGCAAATGTTAACAAGAATAGTAAAACAACTATAATATATTCTTAAAAATTATTTTCTTTTCCACTCCTTTAGGGTCGTGCCGCCATGGAGCCCATTTTGGCAGCAGCCCAGATGATGCTGGAGAGCTCCACTGGCCTGATTCAGACCGCACGCTCTCTGGCTGTCAACCCCAAAGACCCCCCTAAGTGGTCAGTGCTGGCTGGACACTCCAGGACAGTGTCCGACTCCATCAAGAAACTCATTACCAACATGAGGTGAGACCTGTTCTCTGCTTCAGCAGCTGTTTCTGTGCTGCTGTAAAAGAGTCGAGACAAAGCAGCATCGACATGCTTCAGAGAAAAGCCCTGTTTAAATAGAGCTTTTTACCACTTTCACTTTAAAGTAGTTTTAAGAGACGTGTCATGCTTTTAAATCCTTCTTTTTCACATCATTCAGTTGGGGAACTTCAATGCTTTGGTCTGAAATCCACCTTGTTTTAACTCCACAAGCCGCTTTTTCGCATCTCTTCTGAGGTGTGTCTCAAAGCAGCTCATTTTTACGCTGAGGAGAATGAAGACGACCAAACTGTAGTTTCTAAGTCCAGAGATTTTTTTGCAGTTCCATCGCAAATAATTTGGCATTCTAGTTTAGAAAATGTCATAGAAAACAAAGAAAACTGAACAGGTTGAAAAATATGACCCAGAAAGAATATAAAGATATCTACAGAGCACTGGAAGAGACTAAATTCAGCTTTTCTGCACTCCTAGAGACTCCAAGTACACAACAAAATTTATTTAACAACTAAAAAAGTAGATTTGCTGGATATGTCCCCTTTAAAAATCAGATTTGCCTCTAGTTTTTTTCCTGATGAACCATAATGATCTCAAGCCCAGGTGCACCATTACAGTAGTCATTTCTAATTAATACATACCAATGTAAACATTTCCATGATGTGTGCAGAGAAAAAGCCCCTGGTCAGAGAGAATGTGACAATGCTATAGAAGTGCTGAACGGCTGCATCCGAGAAGTTGATCAGGCCTCGCTGGCTGCCATAAGTCAGCACTTAACGCCTCGAGAGGACATCTCCATGGAGGTAAATACACACACAAATCCTTTGATACTTCTTTAGATATGAAATGTATTTTAGTCGCTGAGCTCTTTGAGGTTCACATTAGACAGCTCTGTTTGTTAAACTCATTAAAAGTCAGAAATAACATTACTTTAATAGTATTTTCAGTTTGAAGATCAGCTGACTGTTTTAGTTGACTTTTACTGTTTTTAAACTTCAAATATTTCATATGAACAGACAGTTTATATGTTTGTAATGTTTTTTACACAGAAAGGTACATGTGAAGTACAACAAAAATAAAAAATGAGGGTAACTTGGTGAATCATTTACTATCAGGCTTGCTTAGAGCTCATGACTGATTATACTTGAATACAGTTCATTTCTAAGTAGGCAGTACACTTGGTTAAATGCTCTAGAATGCTAAAGTGAAAGGTGGTTTAACATTTGTTTTACACCTAATATAACCAAAATGCAATTTTTTTTCTTAAATGTTTTTCTCTGTTTTTAAACATTTTCTAAAAAGGCAGTGAACTCCCAAACACAAATTTGAATTGCTCTTTAAAGAGCTTTTGAAATGCAGGGATTTTGGAAGGACAACCCTTTTGCACAGTTTTGCAACAAGTAACAATGAAACACAAAACATCAGAAATAATCTATATAAAAATATTCTATATTAAATCTCTGTTTGTGTGATAAAGCAGTTAAACATGTAAAGGGAGGTCGTCAGTCTGAAATAAATCTGCTTACTTCATCTGTGTCTTGTAGACTCTTCATGAGCAAATGGCTGCCTCAGTCCATGAGATCAGTAATTTGATTGATCCTGTAGCTGTGGCTGCTCGATCTGAAGCCTCTCAGCTGGGACACAAGGTAAAACACACATCTACACAGTGTATGAGTGCTTTATTGTTGTACATATCCTACACGCTGTGAGGATTTCACAATCTGTTTTGACTTGCCGTGTATTGTTTATTCACATTATGACAGGTGTCTCAGATGGCTAGCTACTTTGAACCTTTGATTATGGCGGCCATTGGCACAGCGTCTAAGATCCTCAGCAGCCAGCAGCAGATGGCTGTCTTAGACCAGACCAAGACCCTGGCTGAGTCAGCCCTGCAGATGCTCTACACTGCCAAGGAGGCTGGAGGAAACCCCAAGGTACTGAACTAATCATTTATAACATGATTTGGTGCTTTGGTCCTCAAGAATAATAATAATAATAATAATAATAATAATAATAATAATAATAAACTAATTGATTATAACAATGACCATCCTCTTCATCAGACTGTCATAGAAAAACAGAGTGTCTTCAGTCAGAGGCTTCTTCACTTTCATTGTAATGCAGAGCGCTACAGAAGATTTTTGCCATCACCATCTACAATAACTCTTTAGTTAAATGAGCTACTACAACATCTAATTTTTCTCTGGGATCAATAAAGTGTTTTTGAATTGAACTGAATAGCAATGATATTTGTGGAATAAAAATGTTAAAACTAGGGTATTCTTTATGTAACATAAGAAGGATTACACCCATTTTGGTGAATAGAATAGAATAGTCTTCGTTTTCATTGCACAAGCCTGTAAAACTAAATTGAACATGCCTCAGCTGAGAGTGTATTATAGAGACAACAGCAACATACAAATAATTTGCACTAGGGCTGCACAATATATCGAAAATGTATCGTCATCGCAATAACAGCCTGTGCAGTATGTATATTGCAACAACTGCATAAACTGCAATAGAATTCATCTATATCTAATTAAATGTCGACTCAAAATTTAGCATTTATGTGTTGTGTCACTCAGATGGAAGCTTGAAATATTTCACCAGTCAAATGGAGCCCTTCATGTATTTGGTCAATTAAAAAAATTCAGGCTGGAATGGAAAGGATTAGTTTCTTTCAGTTTGTTTTTTGGGCTTTGAACCCAGAGCAGAAAGATATCAACAGTACATAAATTCATATTTGTTTATTTATCACAAGTCATATCGTCATCGCAATATTAAGCACTGTTATCGCACATCGCAGGTTTTCCTAATATTGTGCAGCCCTAATTTGCACACAATGAGGTAGGTTTTGGCAAAATTAAAAAAAAAAATGTTATAAAAAACATTGCACAGCCTTCAACATGTTCCAGCTGCCTTCAAAGTTTAAATAATTTATCCTATGTAGATGAAGAAAGGTTTGAGATTTTACTTATCAGCAGATTTACTTTTGTTTAAGTGGGGGCGGGTATGCAAAGTCAGGTTTTTTGAGCTTTATATCATGTTATAATGTCATTCCCTCATTAAAACATACACATGTTTGAGAAAACATTGAATCTCCTGTAGCCATGTGGAGCAGCCTAAACGCTTCCTGGTACAAAGTACCGCCTATTTGTACGAAGCTCCTCCCTGGAAATGTGCTGAAAGGCCAATTTCAAGGCATTTAGATAGACTATGATGTGAAGTCAATTTTATTTTAGATTTGTACAGAATTTTCAGAACAAGTGAAGGTAACAAAGTTAGTTAATTGTGGTATAGAATTGATCTATGTGCCTGGAAAATGCATAATACTCCCACCTAATCAAAGTGCCTTAGTGGTCTCTATCGACCAATCCGTTGAGATATAGTATTTCATGTGTCAGTGTGTTCTTGAGCAAAATAGTAACTTGTAAACTTGGTGTGTGTGAGTGGTAAAGGAATGCAGTATACATAGAATACTGAGCTCTGGCTATAAATGGGTGAAAGCAGTCTTAAATACGAGGACTGTTTACTAATTATGGCCTGCTGCCATGTTTTTGTCTGCCTGTTGTCTCATGAACAACTCAACAGACTCTCAGGAAACTTTTAGAAACTAATCGTCGGGCATACGTCTACAACTGATTAACATTTTGGAGTCAATTTGGTTCAAAAATATTCTATAGTTGATACATTTAATTAATTACAGATAAGGAGTTTAAACATAGTGTGATAGTAACTGAGTATCATCCCCAACACATGCTTAGAGCGCTACACATTGTGCAACATCTTTGCTTCAAACTTTGACATGAAATGCCTCATAAAGCACTGGCTGGACTTTGATGAAACTCTCAAAGTAACTACCAAATGTACGTCTGCAAGTGATTATTGTTTAACTAACCTTTACCCAGTTGTTGATGACCCAGTTTCCTGTCTTCAGGCAGCACACATGCAGGACGCTCTGGAGGAGTCGGTGCAGATGATGAAAGAAGCCGTGGATGATCTGGGCGCCACGTTGGCTGAGGCCGCCAGCGCAGCAGGTGCTGTGGGTGGCATGGTGGACTCCATCAATGATGCCATCAATAAAATGCAAGATGCTCCTTCGCACGAACCTGAAGGCACCTTTGTGGACTACCAGACTACCATGGTGAAGACAGCCAAAGCCATTGCTGTCACTGTGCAGGAGATGGTGAGAAAGTGGTCATTTTAGGAGTTTTTTATGTTTTACTAATCGTTTGAATGGAGTTATTTATCTGCGATGGCCGCCCGTCCTGAGCCTGGTCCTGCTGGAGGTTCTTCCTGTTAAAAGAGAGTTTTTCCTCTCCACTGTCGCCAATGTGCTGCTCAGGATGGGAGACTGTGACGAAGGGATTCAGCACAATGCTGGTTTCTTCAGATTGATTGTTTTTGGTACAGTTCCCTGAGACATTTGATGTGACTTGGTGCTATATAAATAGAATTTAATTAAGTAAATAAGTAGAAAATTGTTAAATAAACACAAATCCCATAATCTATCAAGAATACTTGAGTCCATGTCCATTTGCTCAGTGCTCCAGACTTGACTGATGAACCACAGAACAATCCTAATTTTTGTGTTTCCTTTTTTTTCTTTAGGTGACGAAGTCAAACACCAACCCAGATGACCTTGGAGGATTGGCCAACCAGCTGACTAATAATTTCGGAAATCTTGCAGAGGAGGCCAAATTTGCTGCTCTTACAGCAGAGAATGATGAAGTGAATACTATTTTTTCATCACCATCTTGCTTTCTTTTCAAAATAGACATTTTAGCTCTATAAACTGTCTTTGTCATTGAGTTCTTTCTTAAAGCGTTTCTTTTTTCTCCCCCAGATCGGTTCTCACATTAAGAAGCAGGTGGGAGAGCTGGGCTTCAGCTGCACAGGTTTAGTAACCAAGGCTGGAGCTCTGCAGTGCAGCCCCGATGACTCTTTTACTAAAAAGGAGCTGATTGAAAGCGCCCGCAAAGTCTCAGAGAAGGTCAGGCATAAAACACACAGCTTGTGTTACACTGAGAGTTTTCTACACTACATCAATGTATCTGTCTTTCCTTTTTCTGCAGGTCTCCCACGTGTTGGCGTCCCTTCAGGCTGGTAACCGTGGAACTCAGGCCTGCATCACAGCTGCCAGCGCTGTGTCAGGAATCATCGCAGACCTGGACACCACCATCATGTTTGCCACTGCGGGAACTCTGAACCGAGAGAACGCTGAGACCTTTGCTGACCACAGGTACACACTTTAATGGAGGTCATCCTGTAAAATGAGTTCATGGCTGAAGACACTGTTTCTCAGTGTTTTGTAGTAAAGCTTCTGCTTGTACCACTAATTATTTTTTCCGAAACTTCATTTCATTCAATAATCAAACAAATAGTAATAAAACAAACAAATGTTAAAAGAACAAACAAATGATATAACATTGTTATGTCAAAAACACAATCACAACGTAGTCAAATGAAAAGGAGCAGAAAGAATAAAATCTTATAACATCTGCCCCCAATTAAAAAATATATGTATCTAAAACACGTACAACATACAAATAATAAAACTCAACTAGATACACAATATAATTACAAAAAATCAACAAATAGCATGACAACACAAATACAAATCTTAACCAATATTTTGTTCATATCTCATAACAACAACAAAATACTCCAAAATACTCCTAATATTCTACTAAATGAATAAATTGTTCCAGCATTCTTAAGGTCATCAAGCAAAATAATACTACAAATTAATACTCAATCTACATTTTGTTTAGATTTTGACAGCAAAAAAGTTTTTATCAATCTAAGAAATGTATAAATCGTGTTAGCATTTTTGAAAACTTTTCCTAAATTGTTRCACAATTTGATTCCCTGGAAGGAAGTGTTTTTAATCGAATTGTTCTTAAAGCTTGTAGCTCATTGGCCTGCAAGTGTTTAAGACAAAGTGGAGATACAGAATTGAAAAAAACAAAATGCTAATTTTCACTTGGAAACACAACGAAGGACACCTTTGAACAGACTTGAACCTTTTTTAAGGCCCAAAGTTTGCATGAATCTGCATATTAACAATAAAATAGAGCTTCTGAATGAATTTAAAATTCAGATTTCAGGTTCCTGACCACTTGTTTGTAAAAAAAATGTTGTGCAAACTTTTTGAATATGACTCAAATTACTGCAACACAAGAGCAAGGCCCCATGACTCACTGTGAACTCTCATGAACTTTTCTTAACATTAAAGAAACTCCCTCACAAATGCTGCTCCCAGTTTGTCTCAAGCTATTAAGAGTCCAGTGACAAAACCAGCTTTAAGGAAAGAAAATCAAGAGCAGTAGTGTCACTTATTCAGTTAAAGATTCTGTTTAAGCACAGAGGATACACTGCCTGACCAAAAATAGGTTGCCACCTGGATTTAACTAAGCAAATAGGTACAAGCCTCCTGTCGGATAATTACTGCATGGACGATTATCTTTCAGCTGCAACAAGTTATTTAACCCCAACTGGTGCAGTGAGTAGTTTCTTATTTCTTAAACAACCGTGTTGAAAGACATATCCTGTGGAAAAAAGATGTCAGTCTGTTTGAGAAGGGTCAAATCATTGACCAACTGGAAAAAATGCTTCAATTTTCTAGGGAGCATAAAGATTGGAGTCTGGAGCAATGGAAGGAGGTCATGTGGTCTGAATCCATATTTACCCTGTTCCAGAGTGATGGCTTCCATTATACCTAGTGCCTACTGTACAAGCCTGTGAGGGCAGGTCTATGATGTGGGGTCTCTGCAGGTGGTCAGGTCTAGGTTCAGCAACAGTTTGTGCTCAAAGAATGAGGTCAGCTGACCTGAATATACTGAATAACCAGGTTATTCTATCAGTGGATTGTTTCTTCCCTGATAGCACAGCCATATTCCAAGATGACACTAGCTGCGTTTCCATTGACCATGAAAATACTCAAATTAGAATTTCGAAAATAAATTTGCTCAATGGAAATGTATCAATTTCGAAAAAATAAATACATATTTTTTTGACAAAATATTTTTGCGCTAGGATGAGGTGGTTTTTCAGCCGTATAGAAATTGGTGTTTTTCGCAAAACTGCAATAGAAACACTTTTTTTGCATCACGGGAGTCACGTGATCAACAACCGGCTGTTTCAACTGGCGAAAAAGATGACGATGAAGAAGATAACAGGGAGTAGAAGTAGTAGTAATATCACAGAAGTAGTAGAAGAAAGTAGTAAACTCACCGACTACAATTTCACAAAAACACAGCATACGTAGGCGCTCCCAAGTAGGGGCTTGTCTCTGGAAAGCCTTGATAAAAGACGCCGACGTCTCCTCTGATGATGAGCGCTAGTGTCGCGGTAGCAATATGCAATGTGTTTACATCCATTGCCACCATGTTTGTAATGAATTATCACGAGAACAAACGTATTCACGCGTGACTTTAATAGCATTTCTTACTTAATGGAAACACCGCAGTTGCGAAACTGTGTTTTTCAACATTAACAGAATATCGACAAAGTTTTGCGCACATTTGCAATGGAAACACAGCTAATGTCAGGATTCATGGGGCTGGAATTGTTAAAGAGTGGTTCAGGGAGCATGAGACATCATTTTCACACATGGATTGGTTCCATAGAGTCCAAGAGAATCTTTGAAATGTGCTGGAGAAGGTCAGACTCTACCATCATCAATGCAAGGTCTTGGTGAAAAATTAATGCAACACTGGATGAAATAAATCTTCTGACATTGCAGAAGCTTATCCAAACTATGCCACAGAGAATGTGAGCTGTAATCAAAGCTGAAGGCGGTCCAATGTAATATTAAGAGTGTGTGACCTTTTTTTTTTGGTGGCAACTTTTGTTTTGATCAGGCAGTGTATTTTTGTTTTACCACATTAAAGGCATATATTCAAGTGTGGGTGTCTTCATGATTGCATATATGTGTCAGGACATACGTCACTCAGCATCAGCAAATTTATGGTACCCACAGTAATTTAAACTGTCAGGGAGTGTACCACCACATCTTTACTGTAAGAAATATTCATGCACTTGTAAATGCACAAAGAAAAACCTTTCTAAGGACTGCAATACTTGACTTTGTTACAGATAATTATGACCAGCTGTAACATAGTGAATATATTTTTGTTGCTTTACAGGCTGTTTGTTTTGTTTTCTTTAACCATCTCCATGATAATCTTTAACCTTTGACCTTTTTTTTTTTCAGAGAATGCATTTTGAAGACAGCCAAGGCTCTAGTGGAGGACACCAAGCTGCTGGTGTCTGGTGCTGGAGCCAGTCAGGAGAAACTGGCACAGGCTGCCCAGTCGTCAGTGTCCACTATTACCAAACTGGCAGAAGTGGTCAAACAGGGAGCGGCCAGCTTGGGTTCTGAAGACCCAGAGACTCAGGTAAAACATGGCTGGCATGTTTGTCTGCTCCTCTCTTTTAGACTTGGAATTAGGATTAAAGTCACCAAATCAAACTTGTTGATAATTTTGCCATTATTTAATGGTGGTTTTCTGTAAAAAAAAAAAAAAAAAGTGATGCTCAAAAATAAATTTTAAGAACTAGAGCAAAAATTATTCACCTGAACATTTATTTGGATATTTATTATTCTACATCTAGAGGCTGTTAGCAAAGGCATTTTCCAACTTTTCATTTAAGTTTTACTACTTGTTTGCTCATCTTTGTTTAAAATTAAAA